TGAGCTGATCCATCTGGATCTAAAAGATTGTCCTCTAATGTCAGTCACTTGTTTAGATGTGGGTGGGGCTAATTGGCACCAAACTGTCAGGCAATGAAAGCTAGTGGAGCAGTTCTAAAGGTGCAACCCCCTCAAAACGTAAAAAAAAAAACACTTACTCAGATATTTTTTTCATTTTTACAGAATACATGTCAGGTTAAATAATACTACTTATACTTCAGCTATAGTATCAAGGTGTTACTTTATTGTATCTCTTATACTATATCCATTGGTTGTGCTGTTCCTTTTTACATCTCTTTACATGTAATGAAGCAGACTGAAGACTTTATCATCGTCTCCCTTTTATCTCCTCTTTCTTTCATCTTTTCTCCTATTTCCTGTTTTTCCTTTCCTGTTCTACTTACATTGCAGTTTCCATATAATCTGTAATAATCCCTGCATAAATTATAATAAAGCTATGGCGAAAGCCGTACTGCTCCACTTTTGAAAGTAAAATCTGTTGGGCTCCTTTTGGCATCAAGACAATTCTTCTTATTGCCACATCACCAGACAGGACACTGTAAAAAGATAAATAAAAATAAAACATTTTTGAAAAATGCAACGAAAATACAAAGTAGTCGGAGCAAAGAGCCTCAGAGGGGCAGGACTGAGGGAGGGGATGTGCAGTGGAGGTTTAATGAGTCAGGAGGCTGCAGGAAGCATGAGGAAACTGGGATTTACGCCATGAATGGATCATTTTCAAGATCCTTCAAATGGCCTGTATGGGTGGCGTAGGTGTTTAACAGCAAGAACAGTTTGAACCAATCAGGGTCGGAGGTCTCAGAACCTGAGCTCTGTTTCCAGTCTTCGAGAACCTCCATCTTTGTCTCATTTTGTCAGGCGTAAACAAATTGTATCTAGGATGGTTTGAGATGTTAAAAAAAAAAATTTAATAAAGAAAAATTAAATATTAGTAGCAGCAATGATAACACAAAACGTAACTCTCCTGCAGACGTACATCACACTGCATGTGAATTAAAAACGTCAGTGATCAGAGCACGGCTGGATCGAGCCATCTCTGACTTAAAATGTTATTGCCCAAATTGACCATGAAATATGGGAATCTTTTACAATACTCTGGCATTCAGTTCTTTATTACTTAGATCACACCTGCTGTCTCATGACTGAACACTCAGTTTTAAAAGTTATTAAAAACGCTTCTGAAAAGCATTAAGAGCATCAAGAAAAAGGTAAAAATCCCCGGGCAACATTTATAGCGCCTAATTTACTTCTACCTTTGGGCAAATGTGATACTCTAGGTTAATAATGGACAAGTAATTATTTAATTCAGTAGGAGGCATTTAACACATCAGCCAACGATATGAAACAGCTAATGAACAAGTTTAGGAAGCCAAAAACATAAATTCTGTCTTTTTCTTTGCTGGTTTCGGGTCATAATGCTTGTGAGATTAAATATTTCCACATGGCTTCTGTAAACGATGATTTTGAGGTTATTTTTGAGCAGTAAGCTTTGCGGTATCCATGGTTATGTGTTATGAGGACACAAAGTATAGCAAAAAGTTGAGAAAAACCAGCTTGCACTTTTACAGCTCGCACCAAGTCAGATATTTAGCAGTAATACTGGCAATAACTCATTCTTCTAGAGCGGGAGGTCACCAATTAAAATCAGCGGGATCCGAATAAAGTAAAGGACCGGGGAAATTTTTAATTATAATCTCTTACTTTAAACAGCATTTAACACTGAAATAAAATGCAGTTGTTTATGCATCAATGTTATACGCTGAATTTTTAAATTAAAAAAAAAAAGGGTTCAAGGTGCTCATTTTAAGCCTGGATCCAGATTTATTGTTGATTCTGTTCATGGTGGAGAATCCTGCTTCACAGCAGCAGGTTGAGCCAAACATCCTCTAAATGTGCAGGGTCATCTTTGAGCACGCCATTTCACTTTTCTTTCACCAGTTCACCTCAGTTCTTCCAGCAGTCCACACTTTCTCTGCTCTCTTTTTCTCATGGTCTTCTCCTTCTTTCCCATCGCCCGGCTTGCCACAGGTTTGCCTGCTGTGTCTAAAAGTAGCAGCAGCAGCAACCCAGACTGACAGCTCATTGGCTCATTTGGATCACGTGCAGCCTGGAGCCGGACGCTCCCCAGGGCTTTACCGTATTAACAGGAGAAGCGGCGCAAGTGAAATTAGACACTGCCGTCAGAAAAAAGGCGGTAATTTATAAATGTTTTAAATCAGGTGGGTCCGAATACGGACCGCGGTCCCCAAATCCATGACCTCTGATCTAGTTAGGTAAAAATATAACCTTTAAAAATTAAATATAAACAAAGATTTATTATTTATACTGTTTTCTAAAATTCATTATTTAAATACTGTGCAAAGAAAAGCAATAAAGTGTAGAGAATGTGTTGCTTTTTTTTTTACTTAAAAAGTTTAAATTTATTAGTTTAATGAAAGAAAGTAGTTTTAATAGAGGAAATAACCGTTGTTCCGGTTATTTTGCATTTTAAAGTGAAATAATTCATCTTGGTCTTTGTCTTCACTTCATTCCTGAGGATAATTTTACTGCAACAGCCACCATTTAGCCACTCTGAGAAGGATTTAAGACCAGTTAGAGAGACAACTGCTGCAGACTCTGGATGCTTCCCCTTTTTTTTTATATTGTCTTTGATTATTTTATCTTTTCTTTTATTTCTCATGCTATCCATGTAAGGCTTTTTATTTAGCACTTACCTGTTTTACTATGTAGCACTTTGGGATTTGTTTAAATATAAAGTACATTACAAGTCCAAAGTAGTATTATTATTATTATTATCTGCCAAATCAAACATTAAAATAGAAAAAAAAGGGGGGTAACCTTGAAATAGCCCCCCCATAGGCCTTCTTTATATGCAAAAGGTGGATTTAGGGGCAAGTTACACTTTAAATATGCAAGACTGTAGAAGGAAGAAGCAGAAAGCAAAGGGGGAATGTAAGGAGGACCCAGAGGCCCAGCAGAAGGAACGACAGCATGTTCCAGCAGCAAAGTGGCTTATGTGACGTGGTGTCCATCCCCAACACTGAATCAGCAAAGCGTGGAAAGCAATGAGTGCTGACCACCGCAGGGCAGGAGTCTGCTGCGAAGCTCGAACGGAGACGGCTAGATTTCACTTTACACACTTTTACCAATCAGCAGTTCAGACCGGTAGTGGTGCATTAGTATGGGGGATATATTCATGGCATATTTTTGGCCCCTTTGCATCAATTTTAAATGGGAAAAACCAACTGAAGACTTAGACTCAACTTTATTTATCCCTTTGGGATTACTCCTTCCGGAAAATTCTGGTTCCAGTCGCTTATATAGAGTAAAAAGAGTTAAAGCAAGATGCCACTAAAGTTAAAAATACAACAAACAATATAAAAAGAGTGTATATAGTACAAAAAACATAAGTTGTAATGTCCTGGAATATGTTTCCTTTAGGTATAAAAATATCTGTGCAGTAGAGAGCTAAGGGAAGACTACTGGTTAGGTCACCGAGCTTGGATGCCTGAGGGTCTGAGTTATAGCCCCACTCCCACAGACTGCCACTCTGGGTCCCTGAGCAAAGACCCTTAACCCCCAAAACAGTCCCAGGGCGCCACACAATGGCAGCCCAATGCTCCCTAGGGGGACAGCAGTGTCAAGTAACGAAGCACAAATACCTTGTTACTAGGGGTGTAAATAATGATCGTTTTGTACCGATGCATCGATCCAACAGCCGACCATCCGATGCATCGACACGTCGCAAGAGTATTGAATCATGTTTTTCTTTTTCCTCCGGTCTATTTTTATCCATTTGCTCCTGGATGTAATTCCCCTCCCGTGCTGCGGTGGCGCTAAACCTATTTTGCCCTCCTACCTGCAGCGGAGCATCTGTGGAGGGGGCGGGGACGAATGGAGCCGAGGTATTGCATTGAACTCATTGCACTGATTTTGTGCAGTATTGTATTTTTTCATGCAAGGCCTTTCAGAATCTATAATGCAGGGGTATTATTATTTTTCAGTGAATGAGGTTTTAATAGGAATAAGTGGAATGCAACTTCTCTACTTCTGTTACGGAACAAGATGGGTAGCCTGGTCAGCAAGGACCTGAGGAAGAGCGGCTGCTGACGTCACTCTGCTACGCCCGCCGCTCAGAATGCGTTATCGCTTTTCAGTTATGGACAGTTTGCAGGCAGACAACGAAAACGAAAAAGCAATGTCCGCTGTGTTTTCTCTTTGATTATGGCATTATATGTGCATTCTTAAAGAAGAAAATGCAAATAGGATGATTGATTACTAAGTTTATTTATGAGTAAGTAAGTAAGTCATGCAGCCACATTCCTAAAATGAAAACGCATTTGTGAAAATGCGTTTTCATTTTAAATATGATAATGATTTGCTTCTATACTTTTCAGAATTAGTGTTCTATGGGGTAAAGAGAAAAATATGTGTCTCTGCAAATCATCTGGGAGTCTTCAGTGAAATCATAGATTAATAACTATTTAAATAAAACTTATCAAATAATCAATGTATGTAGTTATCAGTGCTTGTAAATATCAAATTTATGCAGAATGTTTATTGATACAAGTAGGTAAAACTGAGTTTTATCCTCAATACCTTTTATCCAGAAATTACGGATGTTTAAATATATGCGTCTATTTGTTAGCAAAGGCTGTAGGAAAGTACAGTTTGTCTTTATTTAGAAAATATGGATGTTTTTCCTGTTAATTTTCCTGTTGGAACAGAGTAGATTAACCCTGAATTTCTGGTGCCAATCCGCTTTCGCCCCCCCCCTGCCTGGCCACCATTATAAGAAAATTCTAGCTACGCCTCTGGGGAAGAGTTTCCTTTCTAGAAATGATGCAAAATGAGAAAAGTCTGCAGGAGTTACAGTTTTTAGGGGAAACAATAAGAGAGCTGTCAAGGGAAGCAAAGACTCACCTAAAGTTGGAGAGAAAGAATGGAAATAAATTAAATTAAAAAAATAAAAACCTCACCTTGTTTGACACACTTGAGCCGAACTGGGTCTCTACTGTGTTTGATCACAGCGTGGACATCCCTGGTGGTCAATCCAGCCACGGGAGTGTCGTTGACTTCCAGCAGCAGGTCCTCCGGGAGGAGTTTACCGCTGTGGCAGACGGATCTGCCCGGGAGGAGCGCGCCGATGACCGGGAACTGTCCGCGCTCCGCGCCGCCCTGCAGCTCCAGCCCCAGCGCCCCCTCCTCATTCCTGCAAAGGAAACTCTCATGGACTCTGTTGGTCCAGTGGTTCTTCCTCTTCTTCAGGCTCTTAGACATGGTGAGTTTACATGAGTGCAGCCGTGCAAGAAAACAACAACAACAAGCAGAAGTTTTCCAGTGGCCGTTTAGCGTCCCCGCGGTGCCACGGTCCACGCAGGAATGCGCCGCGCTTCAGTGGAAAGGCGCAGTTGTTTCCATGTCAGCGCGCAGCAGCTGGATCATCAGGCCGGAGCTGCTCAACTTCAGAGGCGTTCACTGTCATCCGGAAATCTCAGAGACGATAAGAACACGACGCGCTGTCCAATTATCTTAGAGATAAACAAGATAATTGCAAAGCGGTGACATTTTTCCAGGCTTCCATGAACTGATGTTACTAAAAACTATTTATTTTACATTTAATAGATAATCTACTGTAAATGATTATAAATATGCATCCAAAAATATCCGTTACTCTTGAATAGCTTTGAGTTTATTTATATTTTAATCATTGTCTGCTATAATTTGAGCATAAAGTTTAGAGTTAAGAACTTTTAATTAATTAATGATGTTAAAATGACGAAATACCAACTTTAAAATAACAAAAATACCAGGTTACGCTGGCACTTGAATGCAGCATCAAACTCCAACCAACGCAACTAACCCGGATGTCGAGGCTTGGGTAGGAGGAGAGAAGAAAGGGTTTTCCCAAATCCAGATTTCCATTGGAAAAAAGAAAAAAGAAAAAAAGCAAGTAGGAAGTTGGTCCATACTAGCTCAGCTTAAATATGCATTTTCCACACAAACAAATTCCCTTTGTTTCCCCAAATATATATTTAGTCAATTGGGTATTGCAGACATCCCAAGTTATCAAAACTCATTTTAGGAAAATTATGCTTACCCCCCACCCAAAAAATAAAAAATAAAAATCCCCCAAAGCCTCCCAAATTCCAATGATGATCTGCGCTGGAACAGACATGGTTACTGATAGGTCTTTTGGATGTATTTTATTCTTTTTCTTTACAAATTCTATTTTGCTAATTATTCAAAAACAAATTAAAAAATGCTCTAATTTTTACAGATGAATTTAACAGTTTTTCTTGAGTTCTAATTCAAATTTTATTGAAAACCGTAATTTTAACTTAAATTAAGTCAATAATATGTAAAATTCCTAAATTATAAATGTATATTGACCTCATAATATAATTTTTACTGAACCTAATTGAAAATAAATTTCACTTCATGCAGCTCTCTTAATATATTTGAATCCCTTGCCCTGATTATTTCATGCTTTTCTGGGCCCCCATGAAAACACACTGGCCCCCTCCTGGCCCCCTGGTACATTTGGTCTAGATCCGCCACTGTTCCTCCCCTTCACTAGACATGGATATACTTTAGTATATTGTGCTGTAAAATTACTCCTATATTTTTGTTTTTTCAACCTCTGCCGTTTCACAGGATGCACAGCTTTGAGTGGTGCCTGCCAGAGAGGAACCCCAAACTTATTGGGCTGATCCAATCAGCTTTCCAATAACCAGTCGCCTGGAACGCTGGTTGAACAGAGCATCACTTTGGACAGATACGCTGCACAGGTTTCATAAGCAACCTCCTCCCCACACCCCACTCTTATTGTGTTTGCGCAATCGAAGTAGTTCTAATCCGCACATGATGCACAAGTTATTATATTGCCTGCCCGATCTCACTCGCATTAAAAAAACACCACCTGGCATAGTCTAAAATCTGGGATAATTTATCCGATCGCGGGCATCCGTGAACAACTATCTATATTAGGGAGATTCCCAGAACTTCCAGGAGACTTGGGATGTCTGGTATTTGTTGTAACAAGGCTCATTGAAAATAAATCATATCCCATAGGAATGCTGTTTAAATTCAAACTGTACCACAGTAGTGGTAAGACTGCATTGTTGTGATGCACCCATTAAAAACCTGCTTAATCCTCCATCAAATAGGGTTTGGTGTAGGGAGTGTGATGTTGTGGGGTGGCTTAGCTTAGTTGTGGGGTGGCGATGGGACCCCTATTTCATCGTTCTATCTCTATTCTCCTACTCTGCAGAATCTGTTAGTTCAATCTCTAACGTTCTGCTCTCTCTGCTTTTTCTCATAGTAGCTTCATCTGGTCTGTTCCTGTTTGGCTGTGACTCCATCCTGGAGAGAAATATCAGCTGTGCTGCTGCCATCAACACCTTTGTTTCTAGATGTTCGAGATCTGCCTTTTTTCCAGTGTAGTCCTGTTTCTCTGACTGTGACTGGTTGGATGTGCTCTCTCCATCCTCTGCCTGGCTGTGTGTTTCCTGGACTGGGCCGCCTTTTACAGTTGTTTTTTGTATCTCTGCTTCTGTCTCCTTGAACCCCAGTCGGCCTCTGCAGATGGCCGCTCACACTGAGCCTGGTTCTGCTGGAGGTTTCTTCCTGTTAAAAGGGAGTTTTTCCTCTCCACTGTCACTACAAGCATGCTTGGTGTGAGGGATTCCATTCGAGACAATGAGTCGATGCGATCATCTCATTTTCCTTAGATAGAAAACTTTGAATCAATTTGACTCTATGATCTGGTTGAACTGTAAAGTGCCTTTAGATGACATGTGTTGTGAATTGGTGCTATAGACATAAATGAATTAAATTGGCGTCAGGTGTAGGAGTTTGCCCTGAATTCGAAGGGTTGACGGTTCAAGCCCTGGCCTCGGCTTTCAGTGTCGTTCTGTCCTTGGGTAAGACATTTCACCTACATTTTCTACTGATGGTGGTCAGAGGGCCCAGTGGTGCCAAAGTATGGAACCCTCGCATCTATCAGCGAGCCCCAGGACAGCTGTGGGTACAATGTAGCCTACAACCATCAGTGTGTGAGTGAATAACTGAATATGGTTTAAAGAGCTTTGGTTAAGTCAACTGATTTGAAAAAGCGCTATATAAGTACAGTCCATTTACAATTTAGATTGCTTACTTTGCTCTCCTTATGGCTGCAGTGCATGAATGTCTAATGTTATGGATTATTTGATTCTGAAGATTTCGATCCCAATGAAAGGATGTTTAAAATGCGGACGAGTCAACATTAAGCTTCCATATTAAGCTGCTCTGCATCTCCAAGGATTTAGAATCTCAGTTTGGAACCTTTTAGGGGAGATGCAATTTAAGGGGACATAACCGTCTAAACAACGTTATACAAGTTCTTACAAAAAACAACATGTTTCATCAGAGAATTAATTTACCAATCACACATATCCTGACTTATTAACTACATTTAATGGGTCGACAAAAATCCATTTTTTATAGCATCACCCATATGCTAGTTACTGCAACAGTAGCTTTGGAGGAGTTGCAGAGAACCAGAGCTCAAGTAGGAGGATATGTTTTCAAAGAATGAGAAAAAAAAGCATAAAAAGTGTATTTATGTGCAAAACTGAGACACATACTCAAAAAGTGCTGCAGCTGTAATTACAGTGAAGGTGGTTCTAAAAAGAGTTGAATCGGGGAAGCTGAATACGATTTGTTTATGATTAAGAAAAATAAATACTTTCCATAGGCTTGTTCATTACACATTAAGCATTGCTCAAATGCTTGATTGCTTAATGATAATATAGGAAAGTCAACAGGAATGCACAGCTTAGCTAAGGCAATAGAAACCCATTTCAAACAGCTTTACAAAGGTACCCGCTTTTGCAGGAATATTTTAATTGATTCTCCGGGGATTCAACCCAATTCAAAGCATCAGACTTTCAGCGAGAGCTTTATTAAGTGCCAAAAAAGTGGTTCTGAAGATGCAACTCCACAGTGTTTATCTCAGACCAGACAGGAGCAACATGAAGCACATTCTGAACATGATCCTCCTTCAAACAAGTGTGAGTTCTGGGTTTTTCCTCCAATTTTATGTCTTGTAAAATGTGCTCTAAAATCTGTAACGGCTGCCAAGTTTGTTTTTACGATAAATTCAGCAGACAGAGCTGTAGATGCAGAGCAATAGTCTCCCAAATCACGATGTATAACCTTAACACTGACTCCTGGCCTGTATGTGCATCCTCAGAGTGGAAGTCATGGCATCCATTGTGCTACTTTGTGCTCTCACACCACAATTATGCTTATGTTGGTTTTCTTATTAAAAGAATAATGTTTACTGCCCTGATTTTTTTTAAGTATCTTGTAATGCATTACAGTTTTGTCCCCAGTTTTCTTCTCTTCCTACTTCCTATAGAGCGGAGGTCTTCAACAGGAGGTCCGCAACCCCTAGGGGGTCCACAGAGGTACTGCATGGAGGTCACAAAAGTTTTGGTTGATTAGACTTTTTTTTTATATTCCCCCCTGCAATTTTTTCTATTTAAAATGTCTTTAAATCCACATTAACATGAATTTACCAGACTGTGGTAAACAGATAAATGGAGGCAGAAGATGTCTTTCAGTCATCAATGCACACATTCAGCGATGCACAGGAGCTCCTTCAAGCTGGGCACCCTTTCATTCACAACACCTGTCCTATTAACCAAGAATCAGAATCGGAAATACTTTAATAGTCCCAGGGAGAAATTACTTTAGTTACATTACTCCATCTGTAACAGAGTGACTATAGGACCAGTTTGATATAACACTATTTCATACCATTTATATAATTATAGGGTCCCCGCTCCATCTCGCCATCAGTTTGGGGGTCCTTGGATTGGAAAACATTGAAGACCCCTGCTATAGAGCTCTACTCTATGGGCCTGCTTGACGTTAAGGAATGTAAATGTATTTATATTTCTAAAGCCATAAATTACCATGTGAATTTCTAGAATTAAAATAAAATTTTTTTGAAGTTATAGTGCAAGTAGTCCAGTCAGATGGTTTGCCTCTGGAAAACAGTATGATTCCTGAATTTGATTGATTAAATGCAGGGGGGAAAGGAGTATTATTGCAGAGGAGTCCTTGGTAAAGTTTCCTTTTAAAGCATGATCTCATCCAGACAGTCGTAGCCAGAAAATATTTTTATGGATGGCCAGGCAATAACCACTGTACACTGAGGGGTGGCAGAAAGTGGATAGGCGCCAGAACCTCAGGGTCAATCTATTCTGTTCCAACAGCAAAATTAACGAGCAAAACATCCATATTTTCTAAATAAAGACAAACTATACTTTCCTGCAGCCTTTCCTAACAAATAGATGCATATATTTCAACATCCGTGCTTTCTAGATTAAAGGTATATTGGAAATAATTCTTTAAGGGTTTGAGTTTTGGGCGAACATCTTTTCCTTTGTCATTACTTAACTACCTTTA